GTACATAGACCCAGAGTTTTTACCACCTATCCATGTTTACCACCCTGAGTGCCCTACCAAGACCATCTAAACTCAACTCCACATCCTTCCCCCACCTGACAGTCAGTGCATCAGTCAGTGCAGGCCCTGTACCAGATGCTAAGGAATATCCTCTTGAAACCAAAGACACAGCTCATGTCCTTGGGTAACAGTTGAGGTGAACAGGTTACCATTTTAAGAAGTGACCTTAGATCACTTACAGAGCAGCTTCATGTGAAGCACAAATCAACAAGAGCAAACCAAGTCTCTAAGTTTTCAGAGAAGGTCAAGAAAGGAACAGGGAGTCAGATGGGGTGCTTCAGAGAAGCCTTTCTGGACAAGATAAATGTTTCATTCAGGTTTGGTGGGAAGGAAAAGCCATGGATTGGTTGGAGAGAATGGGTAAGGGAAGGGGGAAGCTCTAAAGCCCACATGAGCACATTTTGCTTTGGAGGCTAGATTGCAGATTAGCTTGGCTCCAGCAGAGGCACTGAGCAGGGGAGCTCTGGACAGGGGTTGAAGTCCACCTGTCTTGACACATCTCTGGTCTCCACCTTCAGATGTGTCACCAGTGGTGGCCGGCCTCATCGGGGCCTCTGTGCTGGTGGTGTGTGTCTCGGTGACCGTCTTTGTCTGGTCATGCTGCCACCAGCAGGCAGAGAAGAAGCACAAGACCCCACCATACAAGTTTATTCACATGCTCAAAGGCATCAGCATATACCCAGAGACCCTCAGCAACAAGAAGAAAATCATCAAAGTACGGAGAGACAAAGATGGCCCTGGGAGGGAAGGTGGACGTGGGAACCTGTTGGTGGATGCAGCAGAGGCTGGCCTGCTGAGCCGAGACAAGGGTCCCAGGGGGCCTAGCTCTGGGTCTTGTATAGACCAGTTGCCCATCAAAATGGACTATGGGGAAGAACTGAGGAGCCCCATTACAAGCCTGACCCCCGGGGAGAGCAAAACCACCTCTCCATCTTCTCCAGAGGAGGACGTCATGCTAGGATCCCTCACCTTCTCAGTGGACTATAACTTCCCGAAAAAAGCCCTAGTGGTGACAATCCAAGAGGCCCATGGGCTGCCAGTAATGGATGACCAGACCCAGGGGTCTGATCCCTACATCAAAATGACCATCCTTCCTGACAAGCGGCATCGGGTGAAGACCAGAGTGCTGCGGAAGACCCTGGACCCTGTGTTTGATGAGACCTTCACCTTCTACGGCATCCCATACAGCCAGCTGCAGGACCTGGTGCTGCACTTCCTCGTCCTCAGCTTTGACCGCTTCTCCCGGGATGATGTCATCGGGGAGGTCATGGTGCCATTGGCTGGAGTGGACCCCAGCACGGGCAAGGTACAACTGACCAGGGACATCATCAAGAGGAATATCCAGGTGAGTAGGAAGAGTGTTGGGGAGGGATGGAGGGAGACGAGATCTCGGAGGAGAAATGGAAGGGGGAGGGAGGTGGGTGGGTGGCAAAGAGGGGCTGAAGACAGGAAGCTCTTGGCTGTCAAGGATAAGCAGTGGTCAAAGTAAGACAGAGGGCCTGGCAGATTAGGTCTCCTTCAATAAGCAACTTCCTGAGCAGAGGTCAGTTAGCTTCTAAAATTTCCCTAGTGGTGGGCATCCCGATGCTGCCCAGCTTACTTGGGCCAGGCTGGCCTGCCAGTCCTAAGCGGTCCATGATAGCAGGGATATGCGGACTGACTTCCTCTCCAAAATGATGTGTGATCTTCCTCCAGTGAACTTATTTCTCAAAGCTGAGAAACTATGACAATAATTCAGTAATTTTTCCCTTAGCTTCCCTTTCCCAACCCAAACCTAGGGGTATAAATAGTATCATGTACATGTCTTTTTATAAGCATTTCATAAATGCAATTTAATGTATTGCTTCACATTCCAGGCCCCAACCTTTGCCTGGAAGGGTGAAGCAAGACACTTCTCTTTCCATTCCTCCTCTCCTCCCTCTTTGCATCAGGATAGGGATGAGAGTCCTCCATCCAGCCTTCTCTCCCTCTCTCCCAACGGGGCCAACATTGGCTCTTGAGTTGTAATTTCAGGAGTACAAGAAGTGTACTCCCACCCAACCCCACCAGTTCATTAATTTCTTCCACAATTGGGGAGGCAGTGCAGCGCTGCATGTAAGCCCGTGGCCTCTAGAATTAGACTGCCCGACCTCACTCTCCAGCTCACCACTTTCCAGCTGTGTGACATGGATGAGTTACTTAACCCCTCTAAGGCTCTACTTCCTCATCTGTAAAATGGAGCTGATAATATTGCCTTCTTTACAGGATTATTAGGATCAAATGAGATAATACACTTGGCATATTATTGCCCTTAAGGAGCTTTCACTTTGTTGGAGGAGAAAGACAAGTATTTTTGGCAATTACCATATAGTGAGCGTGGTGGGTGCTATGAAAGAAGTTGTTGAAATTTTAAACTTAGAGTTTCATTCCTTTTTCAGGGTACAGTATGAGGTTAATAGCAAGGACTCTGAAGTCAGACTTGAGTTTAAGTCCAAATTCCACCAGCTAAATGACCTTGGGCAAGCTGCTTAACTTCTCTAAGTCTCAGTTTCTTATAGGACTGAAGTAGGATGATGATTTTACATAGTCCCTAGCACATAGTGAAACTTTGACAAATTGCAACCATTACTATTATTATTATGATTTCTATTATTAATAAAATTTGATCCCTGGGAGATATATGTGGTTTGTAGATATTTATATTGTGTTTTGACAAAGTGGAGGAAGACAAGGGAGGCCTGAATCAGTGGAGAAGGAGGTTCAGAAAGGATAGCAAGGCCACTAAAAACAACTGCACATCTCCCAGAAAGAGCTCTGCCTATCGGTGCCATACTTATCTCTTGATGCCTTTCCCACCTGCAAGCCCACGCTGATCTCAGTGGGGAGACAGGAGGCTCAGGGTTGGATAGAAAAGGCTCCCAATCCAGAAGGGGCAGAGTGTGCAATGAGCACCCAGGAGCAAGATTTGCCCACTGAAGAAGGGTACTTCGCCAAGCCTGGGGAGTGGGGCAGCTGTGTGTTCTCACCTTCTCTGCTGTGTAGTGGGCACCTGTCCCGCTGCAGCCAGCCCATTCCTGCCATTGCCTAAAGGAACTGCTACTGCCACCTGGCACACTCAAGATCCACCTCACAGGAGCCAGGGAAGTTCAAGAATTTTGAAAAATATTAGAGGCATTTGGTCAGAGCATAAACAAGACACTGGTCCAATGCCAGGATACGATGAAACATCCTGGAGTTCAATACTGCAGGGGGTTTTGTATCCTGAGGTTGGAGTCAAAAGGCATGAACAGAAACCGAAACAGTGACCTGTTTCATCCCTTTCTCTCCCTTTCCTCTCCCCCTGTCTCTTTTCCTCAGGGCTCTGCCACCTCCCCTGCCTTATTTCCTGACTCCCTTTGCAGCAGCTCCTTACCCATATACCCAACCTTGTAAAGCCCCCACCCAGCTGTACTCCTCCAGATAGCTCATGCACTCAGCCCAAGGCTGGTGGCGGAGGATGGCTCTGTGCCAGGCTGCAGCTGGGAAGAGACTGGCAAGGAAAGGGACTGATGGCCTAGGAACAAAACAGCCTCAAATCCAGGGCACTGGACAGAGCACAGACAATGGCATTTGCTGAACTACCAGGGGCTCTTGGTAAGAGCCGAGTTTCTTTCCACGTTATTAACTCCCTTCAGGAGGGATAAGCCAAGGCTAGGATCCTGAGCAACACATCCCCTAGAAGAGGCCCTAGACAGGACACCCAGAGCCTGAGCAGCCCCACACCAGAGCCTTCCAGCCTGTGAGGCTGCCTAAGCCTGTTTTGTCCAACCAGTGCCTGGGGGCAGGACTGTGTCCCATCTGAGCCATGGCTGTCATCTCCCTAGTCACTCATGCCATGATTCCTAGCAATGCAGCCTCCGAATGTCTACCCCAAATCCTCCCTATGGTACGAAGAATCTGCCCTTTCTGGATCTCCCCTTGGTGAACACGAGCTAGAGCTGCTCTGGACTGTTCCACACTGCCTGTAAAGACCTTTTTCCTGGTCTGTGTAAGGCACCCCTGATAGTACGGGATCGAATTATCTTCCTCCAAAGATTCCTGGGTAGAGACTAGTAAGAATTGCATTTCTTTATTTAAAAATTTTTTCTTTTCTACTTCAATAAACTGGTCTAAAGAATTGCATTTCTATGGACAACCCCTCCCCCAACCCCAACTGCATTTCCTGGCCTTTAGCAGAAAATTCATCTCTGTCCTTCTCCTTATTAGTGTGTGGTCCAGTTGAAGAAGGCCAGGACTGGTCATCACTTCCACCTCTGTCCATTTTACTGCCTGACCCTGGGCAAGCAGTTATTCTCTCTGGGCCTTAATATCTCTCCAGGCTGGATCGTGAAGGCTAATGGGGTCATATAGGGACTGCACTCTCAGCTCTTATGAATATATAGAAAGATTTAAGAAGCAGGCCGGGCGCGGTGGCTCACGCCTGTAATCCTAGCACTTTGGGAGGCCGAGGTGGGTGGATCGCTCAAGGTCAGGAGTTCGAGACCAGCCTGAGCAAGAGCGAGACCCCGTCTCTACTAAAAATAGAAAGAAATTATTTGGACAACTAAAAATCTATATAGAAAAAATTAGCCGGGCTTGGTGGCTCATGTCTATAGTCCCAGCTACTCGGGAGGCTGAGGCAGTAGGATTGCTTGAGCCCAGGAGTTTGAGGTTGCTGTGAGCTAGGCTGACGCCATGGCACTCTACTCCGGACAACAGAGTGAGACTCTGTCTCAAAAAAAAAACAAAAAAAAAAAACAAGATTTAAGAAGCATTAAAAATTAACCCTTGATTGTTAGTGAAGGAAGGTCACACTATAAACTGTAGCATGCAAAATCTCTGAATTGGACTTTAGAACTATTTGTTTTTTTAGTGGCAGCTTTTTTTCTAATATTTTACTCAGATGGAAATGAAAGTAAATTGACATTCCCATAATAAATTCCCCATGAAGAGAAGGGAGGCATTGCAGAGAGGGTCTGGGGATAAAGAGGAGACAGTGGGAAAGAATTGATTGACAAAGTGGATAATGGAGAGTTGTTAGACTCCTCCTGACTTCTTCAGGTCATGGTGATGACCTGGGACAGTGGTCATGGCATGGGAGGATTCTTAAAATCTCAGACTTACAAACGACCTGAGAGGTCACCCAGTCTAGCCATTGGGGCTGAAAAGAGAAAAAGAAGAAGGAACGTCAATTTTCCAGAAACAATTAAGAAAGTTGTTACGTATGTGTATGGGGGGAGCAAAAAGGAGGATGTGGTTGAACATTAAGGTTTTGTTTCTTTTGTTTTCCCAAGGTTGTGATTTAGGGTGGGGGTGGCCCCAAGAAAGGTTTATTGAGGTGTGTTGGTCCACCTGGTGCAAGGTCTCTATGGCTAGACAATGACTCTGAAAGAGGCTCTGCTAATTATAGGAAAATAGACTTATCCTTCGCCCAAGCATTTCTTTCATCTGAATGTGTTCTTTAGGGCCACTGCTCCTGTTCCTCTGTTGAACTGAGGGAGAAAGGAGCCTGCTCTCTGAGAGCAAAGCCCTCCAGCTCTGTCAGGCATGGATAAAACCCTTTCTCCCCCTTGTCCTTCTGCTTGCCTGCCCCCCAACAGGGTCTTTGCTGCACTAGGCCGAGGGGCTGGGAAACAGAGCTCGCTCCCAGCCCTCAATGGCTCTTTCAAAAGAAAGAGCCATTGATGGTACTATTTGGAATGGGAATTGGGTAGAAAGGGAAAGGGAGGGGGAATGAGGAAACGACATTAAACTGCCTTCAATGCAGAATGGAGTAGCATTCAGGTGGTGCTGTGGCTATAGACTTGGGCATCACAAAGGGGCAGCTGAATGGGGATGGGCATTCTGCCCACATAAAATGGCCAAAGGTGAAAGAGGGGATCAGATGGAGAACAGTTGCTTGAGGAGTGACTTTAGGGGAGAAAATAATTAAAAGGGTAACCAGAAGTTGTCTGCTTTCCCAAAGAACTAGAGAAGGGGCTTGTGAATTTTGATTAGGAAAACTTTGCTCTAATGGATAATTTAGAAAACAGAGTGTATTTATTTATTTAATTTTTGGAGACAGGGTCTTGCTTTGTCACCCAGGCTTGAGTGCAGTGGTGTCACCATAGCTCACTGTAACCTCAAACTCCTGGGTTCAAATGATCCTCCTGCCTCAGCCTCCCTAGTAGCTGGGACTACAGGTGCATGCCACCGCACCTGACTAATTTTTTTAATTTTGTGTAGAGATGGGGTCTCGCTATATTGCCCAGGCTGATCTTCAACTCCTGGCCTCAAGCAACTCTCCTGCCTCAGCCTTCCAAAGTGCTAGGATTACAGTTTGAGCCACTGCGCCCAGCTAGGAAACAGAGTTTTAAACAAGTAATCAGGAAACCTAAGCTACAGTTTTGTAATCAATGTTTGTTTTTACCAATAGGATCTGGGCTCAGTGGCTCATGCCTGTGGTCCCAGCTATTTGGGAGGCTGAGGCATGAGGATATCTTGGGCCTTAAGTTTTTGAGGCTGCTGTGAGCTATGATTGTGCCACTGCACTCCAGCCTGGGTTACAGAGAGGGACCCTATCTCTAAAAAAAACATGTTATTCTTACAAATAAAACTTTGCTTTTAAATCGAGTTTCCCTTTTCTCCTCACCTATCCCTCTCCTGTATATAAACTTAGAATTATATTTAAAGACTGCATATTTAATATTTAAATAGTATTCAATGATGGCTCCATAACTAGATATCAAATCTAGTTAACATTTCATTATTCATGCAAATGAAAGGGGGCAGTGGCCAAATTGATTCAAAAGTTCTTTTCAAATCAGTGCTGTCCAATGGTAACAGAAATGTTCTATATTTGCACTGTCCAATATGGTAGCTACTAGCCACATGTTGCTATTAAGCATTTGAAATATGGCTACTGTGACTGAGGAACTATAATTTCAATTTATTTAACTTTAGTGAATTTAAAATTTAAATAGACACGTCGCTAGTGGCTACTGCATTACAGTGTTCAGTTCTGAATGTTTTGGAAGGCATTTGATTTCCTTTTTCATGAGGGATTACTTTCCATTTGGTTGTGGCTAACAGTAAAAATGAGTTTATATTCTCTGATCGTATTTGGACGCTTGGCAAAAGGAAGCAGCCTAGAAGTGCACTGGTTGGCAAGGGCAACAGCCTGCAATGTTAAACTGCCTGCGGGTACTTCCCACGGATACAATTAAGAGCTGACAATATGCATGTTATGGGTAAAGACAAAATGTGGGGCTTCAACCTAGCACAGAAAAACCATGAAAATCTTTTTAAAAGTCTATTCCCTTTTGTACTTCAATTTCAAAAGCTAAGGACCACGTTTAAACTTTAGTGAGTCATGTTCTGTGCCCTCTGAGAGGCATTTCCGTATGCTCCTGGGATGAAATGTTGACTTAAGACAAAATCATGTGAAATAGTATCAGTTTCATTCCTTGAGATAACTTAAGGCTTACAGTCAAAGCCCAAACTATTAGGCTTGTTTTCTCGTTTTTCACTGATAAGCTAATTAGCTTATTTGCTGTCATTCTTTCCTGCATCACACATACCTGAGCAGAGCGTGAACTAGCCTGGGAACTTCTTAAGGACAGGATTCCTCATTGTCCATCCTTGCAGCCCTAGCTCCCAGCAGAGTGCCTGGCACTTAACAAGTACATAATAAGTCATTTTCGTGGGTGTACGGTCTATATAAGGCTGGTCATAAGTATAGTCTATTTTTGCTCAATCTAAGTCCTGGAGTAGGTGACATTTCTTTGGGGCTTTGAAGAATACAAGGAATAAGGTTTGATAGTGGAGGAATGATTTTGTCCCACCAAATTTAACTTACGTTCTAAATTCCTCAAACCTTGCCTCATTTTGCTTTCCTTGTCCCAGCCTCATCCTCACTTTCTTTTTTTTTTTTTTTTTGAGACAGAGTCTCACTGTGTTGCCCGGGCTAGACTGCCGTGGCGTCAGCTTAGCTCACAGCAACCTCAAACTCCTGGGCTCAAGTGATCCTCCTGCCTTAGCCTCCCGAGTAGCTGAGACTACAGGCATGCGCCACCATGCTTGGCTAATTTTTTCTATATATTTTTAGTTGTCCGATTAATTTCTTTCTATTTTTAGTAGAGACGGGGTCTTGCTCTTGCTCAGGCTGGTTTCGAACTCCTGAGCTCAAACAATCCGCCCGCCTCGGCCTCCCAGAGTGCTAGGATTACAGGCGTGAGCCACCGCACCCGGCCCCATCCCCACTTTCTAAGCTAGAAACACAAGAAATAGTCCTCCCTTTCTTCCCTCTCCCCTGCGCTTCACATCCAGTTAGCCCCCCAGACCGAGAAAATCCTGACAGTTCTGCCTGAGACATCCTCTGCCACAGCCCTAGATCCAGTGGCCATCACTGCTTCCTCAGCCTGCTGGGGCAGCCTCATAACTCAGCCTTCTGGCTTTGGTCTTTCTCTACTTTAGTTCATTCTCCAGCTTCCCCTAAAGTCATATTCAATTTAATAAAATGACAATAAGTTTGCCACTCCTAAGCTTACAGACCTCCTCCTGCCTGTGTGCGGCTGGCTCTGCGGGTTTGTTAGCACCCCCACAGCCCTCTACCTAGCCTCACCCACCTCCCCAGCTTCCTGACCACCCCTCCTGTCAGACACCCCAACTTTGGGCACACGCACCTCTCAGTGCTCTCTGAACACAGTGTACCCTTTCAGAACCCAACGCCTTTGTACCAGCCACTCCCGTCACTCCACCTGATACTCTCTGCCCATCGCGTCCTGGTTTCTTACTCATCAACTGGGCCCAGGCGTCAGCTGGCAAAGCCTTCCCTGAATCTCCCAGCAAAGCGGGCCCCGCCTCCACTGGGTGCCCAGAGCACTTAGACAGGCTTCTTTCTTCCCTGGCAAGTACATGTTCCTTTACATCTCTGTCTCTTCCGCTGCACAATAAGCTCCTTGGGAGCAAGAACTGAGTCCCATCAGCTCTGGAACCCAGCACCTGGCATGTAGTGAGTATCGAAATGTTGCTTCAAGTATTCTTAGAGATCTAGAGTTTTTTTTAAGCTCAAAATAGAGCCTAGCATAAAATTTTAAAATGGGAAAACAGGCTGGGCATAGTGGCTCACGCCTGTAATCCTAGCAGTCTGGGAGGCTGAGGCAGGAGGATCGCTTGAAGTCAGGAGTTCAAGACCAACCTCAGCAAGAATGAGAACTTTGTCTTTACCAAAAATAGAAAAAATTAGCTGGCATGGTGGCATGCATCTGTAGTCCCAGCTACTCTGGAGGCTGAGGCAGGAGGATCGCTTGAGCCCAGGAGTTGAGGCTGCAGTGACCTGTGATGACGCCACTGCACTCTACCCAGGCAACAGAGTGAGACTCTGTCTCAAAAAAAAAAAAAAAAAATGGGAAACAAAGATCAGGGCATTGGGAGGAAGCCGGCTTGGCTGGAGAAAACACACTGAAGTGCAAATACGGAGGCAGGCAGAGCAGGTGTTGATATTCACCTTGCAAAATGGAAGAAAAGGCTCCAGAAAGTTCAGGGACTTGCCCGAGACCATGTAGTGAGTAAGTGGCAAAGTTAAGACTCAAGCCCACGTTTCCAACCTCCCACCATACAGTCTTCAAAACTTTTTTATCACAAGAACCAAATGACTCAGACTTGGGGGGGCGGGGAAAGGGCAACATATGTAACCTAAACATCTGTACCCCCATAATATGCTGAATAAAAAACAAAAGAAAAAAGAACCCCCCCCAAAAAAAGAACCGAATGAAAGAATAGGAGAGAATGCACTTCAAGTGCGCACTGTGTGGTGGGTGCCATTGCGACTTACGCATTGTAACTTGTTTTGTCCTCTTAATAATATTATGAGGTAGGTACTATGTTTTATTCCCATTTTATGGATGAGGAAAGTGAAGTACAGAGATGTTGAGTTACTTGTCCAAGGTCATAGATAAAAAATAGCAGTCAGGGGGCCAGGTGTGGTGGCTCGCACCTGTAATCCTAGCACTCTGGGAGGCCGAGGCAGGAAGATCGTTTGAGGTCAGGAGTTCAAGACCAGCCTGAGCAAGAGCGAGACCCCATCTCTACCAAAAATAGAAAAATTAGCTGGGCATGGCGGTTCCCCCCCCTCTAATACTCGGGAGGCTGAGGCAGGAGGATGGCTTGTGAACTCAGGAGTTTGAGGTTGCAGTGAGCTATGATGATACCACTGCACTCTAGCTGGGGCAACAGAGCAAGACCCTGTCTCAAAAAAAAAAAAAAAAAGAAAAGAAAAAAAAGAAATAGCAGTCAGGTTTTGAATTCAGGCCAGTCTGGCTCCAGAATCCATGTTCACAAATATAAGGCTATGCTGCCTCTCCATGCAAATGATTTTATTCAATACCAGAATTATGATTATAATGCTTCCTTTCCCTCTCCCTGTTAAATAGAATGGGAACATCTTACAGGGGAGAACATCTTTCCTACAGACTCCTTATCCTGCCCTTCTCCTCCTCCAGACTCTCTTCCCACTCTTTGCACGCTTTCTGTGCTGTGTCCTGCTTCCTCTGCCAGGATTTCACCTATTGTTTCTTCCTCACAGAAGTGCATCAGCAGAGGGGAGCTCCAGGTGTCCCTGTCATATCAGCCTGTGGCACAGAGAATGACAGTGGTTGTCCTCAAAGCCAGACACTTGCCGAAGATGGATATCACCGGTCTCTCAGGTAGCAGCTATTTACTTCAACCTATTTCTGACTGAACCACCCCCAGCTCCTTGTCTGTGGCCCAGACATACCCACGCATTTCAGGATCTCTTGCCACTTTCACTTTCGCCTGTTCCTCACTCTGTCTACGTTCTCTTCTGATGAATATCTAGGCCCCGTAGATTTCCCGAGCTGGGGAGGTGTTTTCTTTGTGCAAACGGGGTCTTTACATTTAGTGAGGTATCCTAAATAATATGTATGCCAGGTGCTGAGTGCTCGCTCCAGGTGAGCCTTCTCAAAAAGACTGCAGGCATTGGTTAGTCCCTGTGCCCTTGAAAATGCTTCTTGGTATCATGGGGTTTCTTCAGACATGACTTGAAAAGTTGTTCTAGTCTATTCCTGCTTGGTCTCCTTGGCCCCTTGTCCAGGCAGGCAGACTCACATATAGTCAGTGTACGTTTACTGTGCAATCACTAAAGACCACATGGGGGTGGCCACCAAAGATAGGAACAACAGAGCCCCCCTTCCCAATATGTAATCACCATTATATAGGAGAGGACTGTGTCATAGGCCTGTCTCTCTCTCTTTTTTTTATCTCTTTGGGGGCCCCAGATCCTTACGTCAAGGTGAACGTCTACTACGGCAGAAAGCGCATAGCCAAGAAGAAAACCCATGTGAAGAAGTGCACTTTGAACCCAGTCTTCAATGAATCTTTCATCTATGACATCCCCACTGACCTCCTGCCTGACATCAGCATCGAGTTCCTTGTCATCGACTTCGATCGCACCACCAAGAATGAGGTGGTGGGGAGGCTGATCCTGGGGGCACACAGTGTCACAGCCAGTGGTGCCGAACACTGGAGAGAGGTCTGCGACAGCCCCCGCAAACCTGTGGCCAAGTGGCACAGTCTGAGCGAGTACTAATCCTGTTCTTCTCGCCTCCACTCCCGGGGTCAGGCTGGGGAGGTATGTGGCGGGGAGAGAGATGACGGAGAAGCGGACTCAAAACCTCATTTTAGTTGTAGAAGAAAATTTCTTACAAAACAAATCCCACAAAGAACATCCCACATGACCACAGCTGCAGATCAGTTCTTAGCGATGATGATTTTTTTTCTCATTTGCAAGGCACTAGAAATTCTTTTTTTTTTATGGGGGAAAAAAAGAGAGGGAAAGACCCCTACAAGTCTATATATAACCATGTAACCTTATACTTGCATGTCTAATACAAACTGAAGAAATTAGCCTAACTGCCAATATCGAGTTGCAGATTTTAATCCATGAGAATTGTGTTTTGTGCTGAATTGTATTTGCTGAAATTGGCCTCTTTTTGTTGGGCTTCTCTGGAGAGTTACTTCTACTCCCCACCTCTGCAGAAGAAAATTTTGCTCTTGTAAAACCTCATGTTTTCATCATTCCCATCTTTCTTCTTCTCACCTCTTACACCTTTGCTCTTTGGCTGAGCTCAAAGTCTAGAGGTCTGTAGTAAGCCAAGAAACAGGTGGGATGGATAAGCAGGGTTTGCAGGAAAAAGAGTAATTGAGAAATGGGGTATTTTTTCTGTCATCCCTCCTGCTATGAAGGGGTAAAGGGCAGTTTATGATTAGCTGGTAGCCCCAATGAAGCACATAGAACACATCGGACTTAGCAGGTAGAACTTGGATTTATGAAACTAGATGACTTCTCTAAAAGGAGCTTTGGAGACTTCAAATTCAGCTGTAGGATAGTACCAATGAACATGTCCAGCTGATCGCAAGTGCTGTTTTCATGTAGAACGACAAGGAGGGGAGACAAGAGATGACTGCCATCCCTCTTTGCAGTTATCTACGTTAGTGACAACCATTTACTGGTTGAGGGGTTGGAGGTCATCAGAGGTTTGAAGGATTACATCGGCCTTTGTTTTTTCAGCAAACGCTGACTATGGAGAGGGTTTAGCGTCTTCCCAAGTGGCCTAGATGTTGTAATAATGTTAGAATGAAAAAGGCCTCAGAAATTATTCTTTCTCCTTGAATTTTTCTAATGGCTCTTAAAAAAAATAACAGTGTGACTAACTGAATAACAAAGGTAAGTTGGATTCTTTCAGAACATCTTTTCCCTCAAAACAAAAAGCATAGTTCTTGGAATTTGTGAGCCTCCATGACGTGGTAGAGGGATGGGGGAACCTCAGTGAAATCCTCCTTCTGCCACTGGGCAATAGAGGTTGAGAGAGATCCAGTATCTTGCTTGGGATTAGAATTCAACTTTCCTTACTCATAGCTTAGTTGTGTCTCCAATGTTGAGATTTTTCAGATGGCAGAGACTTCATGGACCATAGGTAAGCTTGGATAGGCAGTAGATATTTTTGCTAGCCTTAAGAGGAACTCAATCAAATAAGCACCCAGTTTGATTCAGGGCCCAAAAGATGACCTGAAATTGAAGTGTCCACTTCCATACAAGGACATCACTTTCTAAGTTGCTTCTGAGAATGGAGTTGAAAAACTGAGTCTCCATGGAGAGGGTGGTGATCTTGCGTTTGGTGTTCCCTTAGCTCTTGTGGATTTAAAACCAGTCTGCTCTCCCCCATCCTTTTGGTTTGTTTTAACCCATGTTCTTGACAGTGCAGAGCAGTTCTGGGCAGGCACAGAGCCCACTCTCTGTTCTTGTCCCTGTCAATTCCATTCCCCCATAATCTGACTCACTATCTTGCCATCACTTGGGATCACACCACTAGTCTCTGTTCTATACCCCATGAAATGTAAATACTGTATCATACGTAGAAAAAAATAATTTTTGTTTTCTAAAAATGCATTTGGAGCTAGTTTAATGTAAATCTGACAGGAGCATTCTGAAGCCCCGTTAGGAAAAAATCTAAATGGTTCCTCTTCATCGCCTTAATGTCTAAAGATCAGAAATCACTGAGCAACATGCTTTTGCTTCCTTCCCAGAAACAATGCAAAGCAACAGGTGGAGATAGTCTGGTCTTTGCCCTGCTGTGTGTGCCTCTGTAGCTCCTCCTGACAAAAGTCTGGGAAAACAGCCTCACCCCACTCCTCTCTTCCCCATCTCCCTGCAGCTTTATCCCTTGCATTCTTTGGGTCTACTGAGCAGGGGGTGGTGAGGTGACAGGGGAGGAACCAGTAGTTCTGTAGGAGCTGCCTCAGTATCTTTGCCAGGAAAAGGCAAAGAGCTGGACAGCCCAAGGTTCCTCCCTCCTACCTCAGGCCTGATCCATCGTGCCCTTGACTTTGCTGTCCCAAAGTTTCTTAGCTGACTTTGGCTTTCACATTGGTTCTTTCCAGAGCTAACCGGTAAGAGTGGCGGAGAAATGCCTCCTGCTAAGAGTCAGTTGAAAGACAAGAGAGTCACATCCTAGCTTTTGCACAAGGCACTCGTTCGTGGTCAGGAATAGGTTAGGGAATGGTCACTTCTGATTTTCCAAGAGTCAGTTCTTCTCTGTGGATCTCTTGATTCCTTTGGGAAGACAAGAGTTTTTCTTAATAACAAAAGCCCCTTTATGAACTCCTCTTTCAGTTCATCTCAGTGGAGCACAGCCAAGATGTACATGTTTACGGACAGTGCTCTAGATATGAAAACAGACAGAACTGGTTTGTGGGACAGGGGTGGCTTGCTCAGGAGAGGGAATAATGCAAGTCCCTTTTCTTGGAAGGCTTTTACTATGGCCCTGACAGTGACATTGCCCTCACCAAGATCCCTCTCCGAAGTGGTTGTCTTTCTTTACCTTGTGTCTTCTCTTGTAAAAATGAAACTCAAAAATAAACGTGTCAAATTAAAAAAGAAAAAACTGAAAAAGCTAACATGAATTGTGTGAAATTGCATAATGCTGTAATGCTAACCTACAATATGTAATGCTATCTTGTATGTTGAATTTGTTTAATGCACCACGCAGTGCAAAATAAAGACCGATTCACATTAAATAGGTACAGTGATGTCAGCATGATTCTCTCGGAAGCTGGGTGACTATGAATGAAGTTAATGATCAGACTATAAAAGGGTGGTCTAGGGCACGTTTTCCAAAGTGTGGTCCCCAGATTACCTGATTCAGAATCATCCAGGGCACTTGTGGAAAAACGTAGATTCCAGGCTCCCATCCTGGAGACTCTCATTTAACAGGTGACTTGGTTCACTGCTTGTTCTAGTCTTTGTTCTAGTCTTTCTGTATTCCTTTTTTTTTTTTTTAAAGATGGGATCTCACTCTGTTGCCCAGGCTGGACCTGAATTCCTGGGTTCAAGTGATCTTCCAGCCTCGGCCTCCCGAGTAGCTGGGACTACAGGCACATGCCACCATTCCCAGCTTCTGTTTTCCTCTTGACATGTAACTTCTAAGACCATAACCATCTGAGGAGAGATGATGGTTTTCGTGTTGAAAGTTAGCCTGCTCTTTAATTGGAAATGTTTATCCCAAAAAGCAATCCTGAGACTAGCCAATTCTTTTCTTTCATTCATTCATTTACTAGCCAACAAATACTTATTTATTGAGTGTTTACTATATGCCAGGCACTGAAGATACAATACATTGATAAGGAAGAGTCCTGTTCTTGTGGAGCTTAGCAGAGGACAGTATTAATCAAATAATCAAACTAATAAATGTATGGCTACAAACTGGGAAATGTTCTAAAGGAAAAGGAACACAGGTTGGGTGCAGTGGCTCATGCCTGTACTATAATCCTAGCAGTTTGGGAGGCTGAGGCAGGAGGATCACTTGAGGCCAGGAGTTCAAGACCAGCCTGGGCAACATAGTGAGATCCTGTCTCTACAAAAAATAAAAAAATTAGCAGGGCATGGTGGCATGCACCTGTAGTCCCAGCTACTAAGAAGGCTGAGGTAGGAGGATCACTTGAGCCCAGGAGTTTGAGGTTGCTGTGAGCTATGATTGTGCCAGTGTACTCTAGCCCAGGCAACAAAGCCACCCTGTCTCAAAAAAAAAAAAAAAAAAAGGAACACAGGTCAATGCAACACTTAGAGGTAATATACTAAGGTAATCTGATCCTTGCAACTATTCTTCATGGATTTCTCTGCGTGCCTTAAAGTCTGGAATGATTCATTTTTCGTATTTTCTGTCCTATGTAAATTATCCTCCCTGTGAGAGGAAGAGAGTATGAAAGAAGGAGAACCAGTCCCTGCTCTTTTAAAGTTTCAGTGAAGGAACTAAAAAACATTTTTTAATTACAAAACTAATATAAGCACATTATAAGAAAATTGGAAAACAGAGAAGAGAAAAAATAATCGAGATTCCAAAATCTTAACAACCATTTTGTCTTCTAATCTTGTTTCCTGTACATTTTTTCCCCTGATACATCACTCTGGGTCAATGTAGAAAATATGTAAAATAAAGTACAAGTCATAGAAATGGGAAAATCCATCTAGAGGCAAGTGTTGCTAATTTTGGCACATCTTTCAATTTGTTTTAACTACCTTATGATTGCAATCAGGGCGTGTATATAATTTTGTGTATTACTTTTTCATAGGTGACAGTCTTAAATAACAACATGACCATATAACAAGAATAGTAAGAGTATGTTGGCACTCAGGATGCTTTTGGGTACAATTAATAGGAAACCCAATTCAAGTTGGGTTAAACATTAAGAAAATGTGTCGGTTCGCCTAACTGGAAGTCCAAAGGCAAGGCAAGCTTTTCAGAGTTGACTTCTGCAAAAGGTCACTGATACTATCAAGGACTCAAGTTCTTTCTGTGGGCCCACTCTGGCGTTCAATGTTAGCTTCATCCTGAGGCTTTCATCTGATGAGCCGCTCCCAGGGCTCCTGGCTTCCTCATTCACTTCCAGATGGAAAGAAGAGATTGCTTCAGGACCGCTCCCAGAAAAATAAGGTAGTCTTATTCCCAGAATAAGTTCCCAGAAGCCTCTAGCAATTCTCTCCTCTAGTCTTGCTGATCCAAAATATGTCACATGGTCACTTCTGAACCAAAC